ACACACACACACACACACACACACACACACACCCTCTCGCTGCCCTTGATTGTCCGTCAACTACTTGGCATTGCTTCCGTGGCAGCCGTCCACGAGCATCGCCAATGGCAACATCATGCAATTCACAACCGATAAAAAAAATAAAGAACTCCATGATGACGGCAAAGAACCAACTTTGATCAACATAGTACGTAATGGCCTACATGGCCGATCGACCACGGATGGCGGCAGCGATCTCGAACAGTGCTTGGCAAATCATCCGCTGTGTCTCATCGGACGCCGCATAGTGCGCTTTTTGGATGGCAACTTCCTGCTCCAATATGTCGCATTGCCTCGTGGAGATGCTGCATTGCCGCTTGCTAGACGATTCGATCGTCGACGACATCAGTGCGCCATGGCGTTCCATGACATCGGAGATGGACTCGAATGCCTGTTGACGCGCGTTCTTCCGCTTCCCGCCTCCCGCCCCGCTGCCTACGTTGCTGTCAGACTCCCTCGCAGAAGAACGCTCGTCAGGGCAGCCTTCACCGGCCGCCTCACTACAAACAGACTCCCCGCCACCCGCTCCTCGCCTGGGCAGCGGCACCCCATCCGGACTGCCAGTGTCGGCAACGTTGGGAGGGAAAATCATGTGGTTCCCCACAATGCCTGCGTGGATCTCGTTGTACAGCGCCCTGTCCATCCGGAACTTGAAGTTGTGCTCCTTCCTCTCTTCGTTCGTGAGCCTGAAAAAATCTGGCCGCCTGCTGGCATTCTGAAACCTCTGAATTTTCTTGTAGTTCTGGAACAGATTGTCCCACTTCTTCATGCAGTCGTCAGCGTCCGTCGGTCTCCCCGCATTCGCCATCCGCTTCGACATGTCCTCCCAATTCCACTCTTTCGTCTTCATCCGCCCGTAATTGTGAGACAAGCCGACGAGGTGCATATCTTGCTCCTGCTTGCATCGCACCAGGAGAATTTGGTCTTCTGCAGACCAGTACGTCGGAGACTTCCCGGCGTCGTCACTTATGCCACCTCTGCCTCCACGGCCAACGGATCGACCACGGACACCACCTCTGCCGCGTCCTTTCCCCCTCCCAGCCGTCTTCCCCAAAGGCCGAATTGGAACGTCGTTGTCGTCGCTTCCACGTCTTCCCTCATCCCTTCGTCTGCGACGTCACCGAAGCCAACGTCGTCTTCGCCTTCATCGCTGTGTGCCCGCATGTTCGACACTCCACATGTTATGTTCTCCACAGTGGGTCGTGGACGTACCGGCGCTCTGCACGTTCCCTCGTCCCTCACTCCGGATTCGACCGGTGTTGTGCACGCAGGCATCAGCGAACGTGCACCGCCCAATCGATCGACGGACGGAGCAGTCGATCCATACTGCCATCCCGCTGGCGATGGCCCGACCGCGCAAGTCACGGGTGCAGCGCGACGAAGTGTGGATTGCTCCGTATGCAGACTTCCAGCATGCTCAACGCCACGTGCCGAACGGTCTCCGTCGATGATGAACGTGCGACTCGCCTCCCTTCCGCCACCAGAACACAACTAGAACCTCAGATCAACTCCTCCGCCGTCGTCGTCCCGCAAGCCTTGATGGAGCAATGACGTGAACTCGCCCCCTCCGTCGAGAGCCGACCCGTCTGCTCGCACCGTCTGCGACCACAACTGAGTCGAGCCGCTAGCGAGAGGCAACGTCGAAAGTTCTTCCTTCTCTGGCTCCTCGTCCGACGGGGGCAATGGCGTGTCCCACGACTCCAGATGGGTGTACATGGACGGGTCGTACCGCCTTCGAGGCTCCGCCGCAGAAGATCGAACTCCTCCCTGACCTGCGGCAGAAGCCGGTCGTGCCTGCATGCCCGCCATTAGACGTTCGCCTGCCGCCCGTCTCGTCGAAGCCCTCCTCTTGCGTTGTTGTTTCCACGACCGCCACGAAAAACACACGTAGAGGAAGACGACAATCAGGAAGACAACGACAGCGAGTACCAGCAGAGGCAATCTCCTCCGCACGTCAGCCATGAAATTCACCTCTGCAGCCGCCCTCGCACGTGACCACTGCAGATGTGTGTTCCGACATGCCCGCGACAGGGGCGCTCGACCTTCATATGCAGACAACCACCACAGAAGACGACGAACACACCCACCTTCCTTTTGAAATTCGACCGTTGCGGTGCGCGCTGCCCGAAGCGGCTCCGTCTGTCATCCTGCGCACGTCGACGTCCGACTCCGCATCTCGCAAGCGACCCAACGGTCCGGTGCGGGCAACCACCCGCCGACGCTCGGCCCTCCGCGCTCCACCCCCTTGGCCAACGGCTACCGTGTGCGGCCGTTGCCCGCGTCGAGCCGCAGAAAACCTCCGATGTCCGACCACCGACTCGACGGACCGCTTCTGGACCACCAACGAGTGTCGACGGTGCCATGCGCGCGACACAACGACTCCGTGAAACGCGGGAATCCTGAATTTTTCAGTAGGTCGGGGGCTACTGGAAATCCTAAATTTTTCAGTAGGTCGGGGGCTACTGGAAAATTTAGGACGAGTTTGCCTGGGGAATCCTAAATCTTTTAGGACTCGTCCTAACACCGTTTTCACATTTTCGACCTCCGATTTCGTTTTAGGACTGTGTGCAACGACGACGCAAGCCTAAAAACAGGCATTTTTAGGAGTGTCTAACGAGACCCTAACCCTTAAAGAAAAGACCCCTTCTGGGCCTCGCCACACCACTCTTGAAAACTCTTGAAAACTCTTTTTCAAGAGTTGCTGCATCGCCACACAGCCTCTTTACACTTGGGGCAGTCAAGAGCTGTCAGAGTGGCAGCCTCTTGAAACGCTGTCAAGAGCAGCTCTCGAAATATTGGAAACCCCAGCCTGCAACGCATGGGTTTCCAAGCCTCCTTGGCCGAACCCTTGACGGACTTCCGAATTTTTGTTTTTGTTTTTTGACTTCCGATTTTCAAGAGTTCTCAGTCCCTTATCCTGACGCCATGGGATCATCCTGTGTCCAACGGCATCCCCCTTTCGAGAGTGCTGTGTGGGGAGGGGCCGAAAACTCCTGAAAACACAACGCTTGAGAACTTCTGACAGCTCTTGACAAATCTCGCCGTTTCAAGAGTGGCGTGGCGAGGCCCTTTCTCTCGACGTTCACACTTTCGACAGCTCCCGACTCTTGGGTAGCATCGATTTTTTTTTTTGGGGGGGGGGAAATGCTACTGCGTAACCTTTTTAGATTGAAATGGGCAAGAAAAGACACAGTGGTGCTGATGTCATTGTTTGAGTTTGAAAATGTGCAACTTTAGAGGGGGGTCGAAACTGCGGCTTTTTTTGCCCTCAGCTGTTTCGAGAACTTCTAAAGTTGCCTATTCGAAACGGCAGGTGTGACCCAGGAGCCGTTGTCAACCAAGTGATGGCAATCTCGTGAATGGACAGAACTGGGAGAAAGGAAAATCATGGTGTTGTCCTGGAGAAGGGGACGGCACAAGAACTCCGTTGAAAGAAGATGTAAGTCCATGGGGAGAAAGATGCAAGCCTCCAGTCGCCATAAGCGCATCTATCCAGTCAGATGTCCTCTCACCTCCCAATGTCTGCCCATCTTGCCCCCCGTCTCTCTTCCACCATCCGCTCCACCTGTTCGTATTCTGTCCATCTCTCCACTCCCCTCACTCTGCTTTCCTTTCTCTATCCTTCGATCCCGTAGTCCCGCCACTGCTGCCAGCCATCTATCCGTAGATCCATCTACATAGCTCTCCATCTATCCATCCAGCCATCGATATGTAGATCCATCTACTCACCCAGGCATCTTCCCTCCTTCCATCCGTTCGTCCATCCATTCACCCACTCACCCCATCCATTCAGTCAACCCTCATATATGCCCACCGACGGGCTTCTTTTTCCGTCGTCTTTTCTTTTCGATTCGATTGATCATTCC